TGATGGGTGCTACTGGGCCCCAGCCTCTTCAGTGTACTGATAGGGAAACTGAGGACCAGCTCGCTCAAGGCCCTGAGGCCGGAGCTCCCAGAGTCCCACACTGGATCCTTTCCGATTTTGCCTAGCAGAGGCCACACCCGGAATCACACGGGCTCCTGAGCTGCTCAGGGACCGGTGCTAGGGTCATAGACGGGGTGACTGTCCAGGGTACTCTAGAGAGGGTTTACTATTGGGGGCGGGGGATAGCGCTATCACTGAAGACCGTACCAGGTCGCCGAAGCTCCGAGCCCGCGAGATCCGCTCCCCAGCCGAAGCACGGCGTCCGTACGGAGGGAGGAGGGTAGCAACCCCAACCAATAGAGCAACAGGGTGGGCGGTCGCTGGCCAATCACGTGGATCGCTCGGCTACCAACCAGGAAGCAAATCCTCAGGACCAGCTTTAGGGGCGGGCATAGGGTCACGTGAATGGAAGTACGGCCAATAGAGAAGCGATTGGGCTAGTGCCTCCCAGTTGCGACGCGAGGCCATTGGACAAACAGGGATTTTTAAAACACGAGTTATGTCACGTGTGACTAGCGATTCGGCCAATGGCAATGCTCGAGGACCCGGAAACGCGAAAGGCAGTCTCCCGGGTTCACGCGCGCACCACGTGAGCCCGCGGGAGGAAGGCGGGGCTGCACCTAGATGCAGGGGGCGGGGCTAGTTCAGCCGGGCCAATGAGCGCGCGACGAACTAGGCGGTAGTTAGGCAGGCCAGGCCAGGCCGGCGCATGGCGGACACCGTTTTGTTCGAGTTTCTGCACTCGGAGATGGTGGCGGAGCTGTGGGCGCACGAGCCCGACCCCGGCCCCGGGGTGAGCGCCGGGTTTCGGGGGGAGGAGGCGTGGGCTGCAGTGGAAAGGCCGGCGGGCCCCGCCCCTGCCTCGCTGGGCGACCTGGGGCGCTCACTTCCTCCTCTGTAGACTGGGGGTCTCAGCCCGGCCGGCCTCGCGGGATACTTCTAGAATTGAGCGAGACAGCTCTGGGTAAAGCTGTTAGTTTAAAGCCTGGCACAGAGTAAGCGGGTAGCAATGATCATAATTACTGTTATTGGTTGTGTACCAAGGACTTCTGGGTTGAATCCCGCCTGCGTCGTTCACTAGATGTGACAGCCAGTGACTCAATCTCTTTGTGCCTCAGTTTCCTCCTTTATAAAATGGGCATCATAACAGCACCTAAGTCGTAGAGTGGGACATTTATTCATTCAACAGACACTGAGCACCTATTATATTCCAGGTACAGTTTCCCTTTTCCGGCGAAGCTTACATTTTAATAAGAATGTCAAACAAACAATAAATAACATAATATGCCACCAACTAGTGATAAGTTCTGTAAAGAAAACTCCAGTGGAGTCTGGGAAAGAAAAGGGGTGGAGAGGTGGATGGTGGAGGAGAGCATTTCTGAGGAAGAGAAGGGAGGAAGCAAGGCCCAGGGATAAGTGGGGGGAAGAACATCCCAGGAAGAGGAACAACAGGGCCAAAGCCCTGAGGTAGGAGCGTGCTTAGCATTTTGGAAGTTAGTCCTTATGAAGAATAAATGAGCTCAGACTTTAAAGTTCTTAGTGCAATGTCTGGCATGTGATCAGCCCTCAGAACATGGGAGCTCTTGTTGCAGAATCTGTTACCAAGAAGAGAGGGTGGGGGAGAGAGTAAGTGCTTAATAAACGGGAGCTGTGCTCACTTTTTCCATTATTGTCCTTACTATGATCATCGTCATCTATATGCAAGACATTTTTATTGGCTTAGGTTTTCTTCCCAAGTTAGGAGCCCTAATGAGGGTGTTGCAGGTTACGATCTCAACATAGTTTCTGAAGAGTTCATTCATTCAGCAAACTTTAACTCGAAACATTGGAGGTGCTGGGCCCTGCCGTAGGCTTCGGGGTTAACTCAGTGAACAATACGAAAGTTCTTGCCCTCATGGAGCTTATGTCGTAGTGGGGGAAGACAGACAAAGTTGAATGGGTCAAGTATGTAGTACATTGAGAAAATGCTATTCGAAAGATAAAGCAAGGGAGAGGAAGTGCCATTGGCCTGTGTGTTGGGGAGGGTGGTTGCAATGTCTGAGCAGCTCATCCGTCCTGGCTTTCCAGCCGGAAACTCGGTAGTCCCTAAAATCTGCCTTTTCTCCGTCACCTCTAGCCCTCGACCAGGCCCTGTCCTCATGGTTTCCCATTTGTCCCCTCCCCTGCCTTTTATTCCAGACTCCCTCCTCTCCACCCCTGTACCAGCCTCCTCCCTCATCTCCCGGCTCATTTCACCTGTCACATCTTCACTTCATTCCCACCTATTAATCCTTCTCCAAGCCCCCAGTAGAAGTCAGGGTGTCTTTGTTACATTCTCGCAGTTTCTCCTTGGTAGCCCTCATCACACTCAGTAAGTATAAGTATACACCTGAACTATGTATCTGTATGATTCTTTGACTCATACCCGTCTCTGCCGCCAGACTGCACGCTGTATGGGCCGGGACCAGGTCTGTGTTGATCACCGCATAGTAGATCTTCTGCATGGATTTGCTGAAGTGGCTGCAGCCTCTGTGCCACGGAGGAGGGTGGGTGGGGACTGAGATTCACTTAGTGACCTATAATAGCACCTACCACGTGTGTTTCCCATGGGCTTTGCACTCCTGATTTCATGCGATCCTCCTAACAACACACAGAGGTCAGCGTGACGCTCCTACTTTATAGATAAAGACACCAAGGCCGCGATGGTTGGAGTGCTCCCTCTCCAGTGGCGGAGTCGGGAACGTAAGCAGACCTCCCACTTCCAAAGCCCGTGCTGTAAACCATGGCCTGCGTCCTCCCTGCTACGCTCCTGGACAATTTAAATGGGTTTCTGTGGTCGGGTCTGGGAGACACTGGGGTATTCAGGTTCGCTCACAACAGGGCGTTCAGAGCACACGACTGCCAGGGGCCCTCAGCCTGGCGACCCCAGGAATCCCAGGGCTGGGGTTCCACACCAGAAACTGCCACGGAGCAGGGCTGGGATGTGGCCTGGGTGGCCAGCCTCAGAAGACCCCTGGGTGGTTTCAGGCGCAGCCAGGGCTGAGAACTCTGGCAGTGGCCCCACGTTCCTTCGACCTGGGAGCCCTGTTTTGCAGGCGCACATCGCGGGAAACTACTATTTCCTCAGTCCTTGGCTCCGGGCCCCTCCACTCTCCACTCCTCTTTGGTCCGACAAGTTTCCTGTCTGAACCAAGCGCAGGCCCCCTGTGTCTTGGGTACTTAATGGTGTCCCCAGCACGGTGTTTTCTCAGACTTAGTCCTCAGGACAGCCCTCTGGGAAGATGCTGTCCCAGTTTACAGAGGAGGAACTGAGGTGCCAGAGAAGGAGGGCCTTTCCTGAGGCACATGGCCATGATCAGGCAAAAGCAGGGCTCGGGGACTTGTCTGTGGCATCAGGTCTGCCTCTTCGCCAGCTGCAGAGCTCCTTGAGGACAGGGATGGTGCTGGCTTGTTCCCCTCCGTCCCCACAGCACAGGCACCCGGGAGCCGGTCATTCTTTAGGGCTTCTGTGATCCCCACATCCTGCCTGGTTACTTGTGGCTGTGGAATGGATCCTCAGGAATGGTTACAGGTGAAATGGAGGGCGGGCCAGAGGAGCCTGGAGGCCAAAGGGCCTTTGTTCTCAAAGCAGGAAAAACTCAGGGAGGAGTCGGCTGTGGTTTCTCCTCCTCAGCAGCTTTGAAGATAAGGGAAGCCTGTGGGCAAAGGAGTGAATTCATCTACTACCGTGAGCCCTGGCAGGTGGCCCAGGAACAGCACTGCTGGCCGGGCCATGGTCCACCAAGGCCCAGGGAGTGCCCATGTCATCCCCTTCTCTCAGGAGGGCCTGGGCACCAGCCGGTTCCCGGGTTCCTGGCAGAGCCCTGTAAGGCAGCAGACCTCATCCTTTGTGGCACCAGGGACCGGTGCCCCTATGAGCATCTAAACTGATGATCTGAGGTGGAGCTGAGGCGGTGATGCTGGCGCTGGGGAGCTTCGCTGGCTTGCTGCTCACCTCCTGCTGTGCGACTTGGTTCCTAACAGGCCACGGACAGGTGCACAGGCGTGGGGTTGGCCCAACATAGGGGTGGAGGAGGAGGGTGGTCTGGGCGAGCTCTGCAGGTGTAGGGGGAGGTAGTGGGATTGAGGAGGAGAGCCAGGCTTTTCCCCTGCCCATTCATTGCCACTCACCTGTCCACTCTCCATACTAACGTTCGGTCACTCATCTCTTCTCCCTGAGCTTCCCAGAAGGGCTACTCATCCCTGGTCCCCTGCCAGGGCCTGCACAGAGTGGCTCCACAGGTGAGGGGTGACCTCACAAATAACGAGGGGCAGGGCAGGTAGAAGACAGGGAGGAGCCAGGCCCACAGCCCCGCCAGCTCCCCTGGCTTCAGTCCCGATCCTCCTCCTGGCTGTTCTGAGTCCAGTGCTGGGGGTGGGGGAGGGCTGGGGGCTCGGTTTGCTGTCTTCCATTAGTCCTGCTTGGAGCTCTGAGTGGACACTTGACTCCTTCAGCTCAGCACGTTTTTCTTGTTATCTCTTTGATTATTTCTTCTCCCGCCTTGTTCCACACGTGTCTCTTTGGCACTCGCAGGAATATTAGACTTTCTGGATCTCTTCCACGTGGTCTTACAACTTTTCTCTCATTTTTTTCCAACCTCGGGGCTTTTTTCTGGACAGCCTGGGAGGCTTTATCTACCTTACAGATTGGTCTGTTTTTCAGCTCTCTTTTAACAGATGTTTATTTTGGCTACCGTCTTTCTCATTTCCAAGAACTTCCCTTTGTCTGATTGTGCCTTCCTCCGAGCGCCCGGGCTGAGTGATGGCTCCATTGGTGCTGACGCTGATAAGGCTGCTCTGAGGGGTTCCCCTCTGTTCCTCATTATCCCGTTTCCTCTCAGGGGGCTGTCGTGTAAACTCAGCCCTGGCCCTGGGCTGGCTCCAGAGGATTCGGATGAATGGGCGAGACCGCTTTGCCTTCCCTGGGAATAACAACAAACCCATAATCTCTGAAGAGCTTTCGCAGGGGCCTGGGCGGGAGTCCCTGGAGACAGGCTGCGACAGAGGCAGATGAACCAGCTTCGGCTCCTTTCCTCCACCCTCTCTTCCCCCATCACCTGCTCATCCTCAGCCCTTCCCTCTCCACTTCCTCTTCCCCCTCCCTCTTCTCATTATTCCCCAGATCCCTCCACGCCCAGTCTTTTCAGTTCAGCCAATACTTAATTAGCCCCTACGCAGGGCCAGCAGTAACACGAATTGTGGATCGAGTTGTCCTAGCACCACTGTGAGGTAGGGAACGCCATCGGCCCCATTTCACACGTGGGGAAACTGAGGCACAGGGCCAGGAGGTGCCTCGCCCAAAGTCTCCTGTTCACTAAGCGGTGGAGCCAGGATTCAAACGCAGGCAGTCTGAAGCCCACCACAGGGAGACGAAATTGTGGAACCTTCCTGGCCCCCTCAGCTTCCCGCCGGGCTGAGGACCCTGCTGACTCTGCTGTCCCCTCTCAGGGCCACTGTCCCGGCCATGACCTGGGCCCAGGGTGTTTTCCCATCCGCTCCCTGTCCTGCTTACCTCCTCCTCCTTCGGACTCGGCAGGGTGGTGTAGCTTCCTCCGTGGAGCCTGCCCGGCCTCGCCAAGGACACGCTTTTCTCCCTCCTCCCGTATCGTGATCGTAAGGAAATCATTCATTGCGCCATTAGCCCTTGCCTGCTCACAGCACTGTCTCCCAGGGGAAAACGCACCCTCCCCTGCCTGGGGCCCCTCCCCTTGCCCACCTCCCCCCACTGTCCCCGATGCTGCATTCCTCGTGCTTTTTCCTAGGTCCTTGCCTTTGCGTACACCCCCAAACGCAGGGAGTCCTGGGTTGTCCTTGGTCAACCTGAGAAGTCGTCAGGGACACAGGTATGCTCAGTCAGTACGGAGCCTGGAGCTCCCCTCTAGAAAGGAGGTGACACGAGAGTGGCAGCCACCTTGGAAGGCCCGCCAGCATTCTAGGTGCTGCCATACATCACCCCCAGCAGGGGTCCCAAACCCCCCAGCCGTGGTATGGTCATTGGCCTGTTCGGAGCCTGGCTACACAGCAGGAGGTGAGTGGCAGGTGAGAGTAAGCTGAGCTTCATCTGTATTTGTGGCCGCTGCCCAGCGCCAGCATCACCGCCTCAGCTCCGCCTCAGATCATCAGGCGTTAGATTCTCATAGGAGCACAGGCCCCTGGTGCCGAAAAGGTTGGGGGCCACTGACCCCAGAACAGAGCCCCTCCTTCATAGGGTTTACCTCCAGCCAAGGGCCTCATCCGCCATCAGCTGGGGGACTTGTCACCCAGGTTGACCGATGCAGGCTTGTGACTGGTGGTGGCAGTAACACTTCCTGAGCCCAACGTGGAGGGGGCTCAGCTTGTGTTTTCCAACTCCTGTAACCCCCTAAGGCCCCCTAAGGCCCCTGGGAAGTGGTGCTGTTAATATTCTCCTCTTTACACATGAAACAGGCACAGGGCGGTCCCACAGCTGGTAGGTGTCAGGGGCTAATTCTCGTTCCCCTCACTGTCTCGCACACCCAGCTCATATCCCAAATGTCATTAGTCATCAGACCCCTCCCGGAGCCCTCCCGGTGTGGCCAACCCTGCTGGGCCTGAGACAGCCCGACAGGCGGTACCAGCAGGTCGCAGGTACACCAGTGTCTTCCGACAGGAAACTGTGTCGTCACCCAGGCCTGGTTCTTGCAGGTGGAGCAGGGAATGGCGGGCGAGGGCCCGGATGCCAGGGGGCCTGGCAGAGGAGAGGGCACCTTGCTTAGAAGTGCAAGTGACCTCTGCTCGGGCCTCCCCATGCCTGGCGCTCCCCACCAGGCCAGCCTTGCCCCTTACCATCTTACTGAGGCCAGGACAGGTGTGGTAGTGACCCGGCCATCCACCCGTCTGGCCACCTAGGCTTGGCAGTTGGACCTGCTTGGGCTTGAAAGACAGCCCCGTGGCTGAGGGTGCCCGCGGCAAGTGTCAGCTCACCCCTCTGCGCCCATTTCCAAGTGTGGAATGTGGCCTGGCTTACGGGGTTAAGACGAAGCAGGAGGGTTCGTGTAAAGAGCCCGCACACAGCGTGCGCACGAACCCCCACCTGTCGCTTCAGCCTCTCTTTCTCAGCACCTCCCAGGTGCCAAGGCCTGTGCTGGCTGCGGAGGGTTGGCCTGGGTCCCCACCCTTCCAGAACTGTGTCCCCACTCAGTGACAGCACAAAGGAGAGGGCTGAGGGATGAGGAAGGCCTGCAGGAGCCGGGCAGAGGGGACTCCGAGTGGAGAGGCCCGAAGCCTGAGCTTTCCAGGCCGAGGGAAGTGTGTGTCGTGGGGCGTCCCAGACTGCTGCGTGAAGCCTGCCGAGGTGGCCCAGTTGTCGTCTCAGGCTGGATCGAAGCAGAAAAGCCCCACCCCCCACTCAGGGGCTCCGTGATGCATGATGCGTGGACCTGGAGAGAAAACCGCAGCGGCCGGTCCCCTGGAAAGGTGGTGGCTGAAGGGGCTCAGGCCTGGGGACTGTGGCCTGAGAGGCGCCAGCTGTCTCCCTCCCAGGGCTCTGCACCCACCTCTCCTCTGCCCCCTCACCTTGGTCCAGCCAGACCCTCCAGGTCTGGGGCCTCACGCCACAGGCCAACCCGGTATCTCTGACACCCCAACCTGGGCCTCCCTCCATCAGCTCCCAGATTGCTCAAGTGGAAATAACAAGTCGGCAGTCCTCCAGCCATGCTGTCCCCTCCCTATCCTCGGCCCCTCCCACCGTGGGACCCTGGCCTGCACTCCAGCATGCCCCTTGGCTGCCTTCCCTGAGTGCCCAAGGGAACATCTCCCTCCCGAGGTTCCTGGCTGGTATTTTAAGGTCTGGCCGTCGTAGTCTGCTCCCACAGCCCCCTGCTGGCTGGGCATGGCCCGTGCCTTGCTGCCCCATGAGCTGTTGGACAAGTCACCTTGAGCATCTGGGGTGATCAGAGCGCTGCGCCCTGGGGTGTTATAAGGCTGCACCCCTAAAGGGCTTCCAGTGAGTAATGGGTGCTGTTGGGAAAGAGCTGCCCAGCAAGGGTGAAGCTCAGCGTGGGGAACACCCTCATTTTTCCTGGAGCAAGGGAGAGCCGGACCTGAGGGCTGATGGGGTCGACGGAGTGGAGGGGTCACAGGGCGGGTGGAGGGGAAAAGCCAGCCTGCCACTCTGCAGGCCTGAGCCTGTCCTGGCCAGGTGGCGCTGCGTTGGAGGGATGGCTGGCCCTCTTACAGCTGCTACGTCGGCTAACTTCCGGTTGGAGGTGGCCGAGGGCCCCTGAGCCTCTCTTCTCTGGCCTTCTAGGGACAGAAGATGAGCCTGTCGGTCCTGGAAGGCATGGGCTTCCGCGTGGGCCAGGCCCTGGGCGAGAGGTGAGAGCCGGCCCCTCCCGCCCGAGGCTGGACCTGAGCTGGGAGGGCGCAATGCTCTGGCAGAACCCAGCCTGGCTTCCTTCTCCGCTCCCCGCTTGCCCGGCCTGGCCCAAGTATCTGCCGATGCCCCCAGGCTGCCCCGGGAGACGCTGGCCTTCAGGGAGGAGCTAGACGTCCTCAAGTTCCTGTGCAAAGACCTGTGGGTGGCCGTGTTCCAAAAGCAGATGGACAGCCTCCGCACCAATCACCAGGTGTGTGCCCGCGCCCAGCGCCTGCTGCCTGGCCGCAGGCAGAGGTGGAACCGAGCGGCTCTGGGAGGGGAACCCCCATCAGGGGAGGTTGCAGCTGCCCAGCCATGGGGCCTGGCCACGCTGGGAGGCAGGACCTCGGGGAAGGCGCGATGGGGCGCGGGGCCGTTCCCAGAATTTCTGCTTCCAGGATGGGACCCCAGAGCCAAGGGGAGACCTCGTGGCTGGCGTCCCCTCAGCGTGACGCTCCCGTCTCAGCCTGGTCCGCTGGTTCCCTTGGGCGCCCACGCCGTGCACGGCCCCACTGGCTGCGTCTGCAGCTTCTCACCACAACCCTGGGGGCAGGGGCAGGGGCACCTTTAACCCAGGAGGTCACGCAGCCAGAGGAGCAGGACCAGCGCACCCCTGGGTGACGCCAGCCCTGGGAAGCCCGGGGCCCCTTCTGCAGCTCGGAAGGATGGGGCCGTGACCACAGCGGCTTTGAGAGTAGAGTTCTCGCAGAGGTCCTGGCTTCCCCTCTCCCCGTGCAAACAGACAGCACCCACTCTCCTGCATCCCCAGGGGACCTACGTCTTACAGGACAACAGCTTCCCCCTCCTCATCCGGATGGCCTCGGGCCTGCAGTATGTGGAGGAAGCACCCAAGGTATGGGGGGGCTGGAGCACACCCACACTGCACTTCCCCTACTTCTCCAGCCCTCACCCCCAGGGAGGCCTCGCCCCAGGCCAAGGGGTGAGCCCACCGCAAAACCCAAAGCCCGTCCTGGCCCCGGTCCTGGGTGTCGGCCTTCACTTTCCCACAGTGACCTGTGCCCCCCATCTCCAGTTCCTGGCCTTCACCTGCGGCCTTCTGCGTGGCACCCTCAGCACCCTAGGCATCAAGAGCCTAGTCACCACCTCTGTGGCAGCCCTGCCAGCCTGTAAGTCGTGAGGGTGGGGGACTCCCGCTAGCCCTGAGCGTGGCAGGGGCTCTAGAGCTCCACTGTCCCTGCTCCCAAGGACCAGGCCACTGAGCCCCATTCTATAGGTGGGGACTTTGAGACCCCCCAAGAGCTTAAGTTACGTGCCCTTGGCCCTGAGGCCCCCAGCCTGCTTCCCAGGTGTGTGCTAGCCCCGAGGAGGGGACCCTTGGTGATGTCCTGGTCCAGGGTGTCGAATGTCCTTCCCAGCACGGGGCTCAGGCAGACGTAACAAGGCACCCACGTGGGCGTTCCAGGGACAGCCAGACCCCATGGGACTTGCAGCTTGTATGGAAGGGCATTCCCTTGACCCCCAGGGACCTCCATGACACAGGCCGAAGCCCATTGCTACCTGGGGGCAGCCTGAGCCTGCAGCCAGCCCTCCATTCTCACTCCCCCCACCCCCCACCCGGTGGTTTTCCCTCTGCCGGGACCCATGGGGGGCAGCTGGGCCCCAAGTGGTTAGAACCTGAGCAATACATGTCCCAGGAACCTGTGCCAGGCCCTTCCCCGGCAGCCTGTGTCTGGCCTTCATGCCCCTCGTCACAGCCCTGGGATGTAGGTCAGGTGGGCGGGAGCATCACCCCCTTTGACCAGCAAGGCCACCCAGGCTGTTGGCCAGGGCCTGAGCTGTTCGCGTGCTTTCTGCTTCTCCCCCTCAGACCCCAGCCTCAGGCTAAAGCCAGCCCTTCTCTTCCAGCCAAGTTCCAGGTGGTGATCCAGAGACCCTGACCCGCCCCAGCTGAGCCCCACAGCACCCTTGGCCCAGAGATCCCGGGCCACTGCCTTTGGCGGTGGCCAGAGGGCTGGTGCTGGGGATCCCAGGCTCTGGGGGTGACGAGGTGGGGTGTCCAGCTGCATCAGGGCGTCACACATGCTCAGCAGATGGGTGTCAGAGGGAAATGGAGGCATCCTGAAGGCAGGGTGGCCTCAGCCACCATCGGGGCTGGTGTGGAGGGGTCCCCATCGGACACACACTCACTCTTCACAGAGGGTGCTCAATAAACGTTCTGTGTGGAGCCAGGTTCAAAGAGGAAGGTGAAGGTCACTGAGCACTGGGGGGAAGGAGTGACTGCGAAGCGCCTGTTTTGTCACAGGGCCTGCGTTGTGGGGAGCAAAACACCTTGTGTATCTCCCTGCCCCTCATTCCCTCCCCTTTCAGGCCCCCTCCAACCCGGGTTCTGCGCCCCAGAGCTTGACGCCTCCCTGAACGAGAGTCCTGGGTGGATGGCCCCAGCCCTGGCGCCCCGCCAGTGTCAACAAGTCTGGGGCTGCCCTCCCCGCCGCGGGGCCTCTCTCTGGAGTGCAAGCCGGGCAGGCAGCCGTGGCAGGATGGATGGAAAGGGGGAGGATGGGCCAGACGCCCTCATTCCCCTCGCCCACGCTCACACACTGGCCTACACACCTCACATGCCTGGCAGGTGAGGGTCATCTCTGGGACAGCGGCCCCTGCCCTCCCCCACAGCCTCCTCCCCCACTTATATCCAGAGAATCCTGGGCGTCACACACCCGGACTGCCCGGGCTCTGCCGCCAGCTGCTGCCTGATGCGGGTAAGTACCCCCACTGCCTGCCTCAGAGCTGCCGGTGTAGGCTGGGGCGGGACCCAGGTGGGACGAGGAAGGGTCTCCTTGCTGAAAACACCCCCGGAGCCCGAAGGCTCTTACGCCCCTGTAAGCCCAGCGCACACGCGCCTTCCGGCCGTGCCTCAGCTTCCCTCCCCAGCCCACATGCCGAGAGCCACCTTCCCTGGCCTGCCCCCCATGCCTTTGCACACGCCCTTGCCAAGGCTGCCCCGCTGCCAGCCCCCCAAACTCCTGCTCCCTCGTGGGTGTCCAGTAGCCTCCTGGTCCCCGAGTGGTCACTCACTTGCCCTCCCGGGTGCGCACCTGTTCACCTGGGGATCCCTCCGCGGTGCCGCCTGCTCAGCCCAGAGCCGGGCGGAAGCTCCCGGAGTGACCTGAAGTTACCTGAACCGTGCGTGCGGGGGTGGGGGGACTGGCCCAGCCCTGCCCTCAAGAAGTTCAGGGGCCCGTCCTGGAGCAAGGGGGCGAGTGCCCCTCAGGCTTGCCCCCTAGTCGGACACACCAGCTCTGCCTTTCTGATGGCTGGGGCACTGCGGGGGGCGGGGTGACGACAGAGTCCCAGACTGGTGGAGGACACGGAGGACGCCCTTCCGAGGAGAAACAGCTTGAGGGCCTGGGGGAGAGATAGGCATCTCAGGTAGAGGGAAGGGGCAGAGTTTGGTCGCCAGGAAGACTCCCTACGGGCTGCTCTGCAGGCCCAGCGGGCTTCCTTCCCTGCCCTGGCCCGTGGTTGCCTCTCCTGTCCCCATGGAATGACCCATCTCCAGGAGCAGCCACTGGTAGGCAGTGCAGGGAGACAGGACCCCTGGAGAGCGGGGCGCTCCTGGCCTCAGGCCCCTCTTGCCCAGCCCCACCCTCACCTCCTGAAGAATGTCTGCAAGGAGCCCCCCGCCCCCCAGCAGCGGGAGACAGAGCCAGAGCAGAAACCAGTTTGCTTTCAAAGTCCCACCTCCGTGTGAACCGCCAAGGGACTTCACCACTCTGGACCTGTTTCCTCATCTGTAAAGTGGGCATCACACTCCCCAGAGGGTGGTGAGGAAGGACGGGGTTACTCCACGAGAGCGTGTATGCCAAGTGGGGTCCCTGGTAAGCCTCGATAGCACGTGTTGTCGTTATATATATGCGAAGCATTTAGAGCAGCCGGGTAAATGGGTCAGTCACTGCCCAGTAAATGTTCGCTGCTGTCATCGCCATGTACCAGGCTCTGTGCTCGGTGGACTCTTGACAGCCAGAGGTAGGTACCGACACTGGTCCACTCAGCAATGAGGAAGCCGATGCTCGGAGAGATGAAGTCACTTGCCCAAGGTCACACAGCTGGGCCTGGAAAAACTGGCATCTGAACCTGGGATTGCATGTTTCCCCGGCCTGGATGCAGCCGCTGTCCCAGCTTCCTTCCCTCCCGCAGCACAGGCGCCCCGGGGCTGGCCCCCACAGCCCCTCTGGGAGGTCCCACCCAGGCAGCAGCGTGGCCTCCATCTCCATCCCTGACCTCAGGTGCCTTGCAGAGGCAGCCCCCCAGTCCTCGAAAGCAGGAGAGCACCAGCACTGGGCTGGCATGCCGGGGGAGGGAGGGGTGGGGCCTGGGCGGGCAAACCAGTCCGGCAGCTCAGCCCCAGCTCCCCGCCTCTCACCAGTTGGGCCTGGGCTGCTGGTGGTGGGGCCGGCACAGCAGCTCGCCGGGGCAGGGAGCTGGGGCCGTGAG